TATTATATTAGGAAGATTATGAATGGAAATTGATATTTTAAATTATTAAGGACCCTATCAATGGTAATAATTAATTATATTTTGTACATCTGAAATTTTAAATTATGGGAAATTTTACAGCGGTGTGTGCGTGGGTGTGGAATGGTGTGTGCGTTTTATAGTTTGTCATGGTGTACACCTCCTGTTACAGAAAAACGCACACGCCATTCCACACCCGCGCACACACCATCGTAAAATTCCCCACATTTTTTTAAAATAACACAACAAGCCCAATATTATATCTACGTTTCGCACACGCCCGAAACTAGTAAAACACAAACCAAAATGTACATGCCTGTATCACGATCGCACATACCAAAACGCATAATTTTATGAAAAAAAAAACTAGCACGCCATGTTGTACGAGCCCTGTTACAGTAAAACGCACACACCATTCCACACCCACGCAAACACCGCCGTAAAATTCCAAAGAAAATTACTAAGAGAGAGAGAGAAATATTGATTAAGGAGAGCTGAAATAACGCTACGAATCTTTATAAACATGGAAATAAATGAAATGGAAAGTAATAAACATAGTGCTTAAGGACAAAAAGACTCATGCTTCATCTAAAATCAGTATAACATGGGATCCAAGTGGTAATCAATCTGAATCGTCAAAAAATTAAAATCAACGATCAGGGAGTGTGCTCATGGGCTCGGCTGACTAGGGGGTGTGCACCAGATTCAAAATCTATGTATATGTATATATATATATATATATATATATATATATATATATATATATATATATATATATATATATATATATAGGGAAAATGACACTTTTTCCCCCTGAATTATTTAAGTGGCTCTTTTTCCGCTGTAATGTTAAATGGACATATTTACCCTTAAAATAAATATTTAAAGAAAATATTTCATTTATTTTTCTTCTCAAACAAATTATTATTATAATTTGGTTCAAACCAAACATATACTATAGCAACCAAACCAAAATATCTGAATTAAAATTTATAATCAAAACGCGATATTTAGAGTTTATTAAAATAGCGAACCGGAATGGTCGATTCATGTTCCGAACTGAAAAATAAAATATATTTATTGTTGAATTTAGACTATTTTAAAATAAAGACGGTTCAAAATCGCGAACCGGATCCGGAATTGCTGGTTCACGGTTTATGATCCAGTTTTTTTATTCTTAAATTTAATAAATTGAAATCCAAAATTGGGTTCTAGATCTGAATCATAACCGAAAACTTTTAATTCGATTGCTATAGTGTCTGGTTCAGTTCGTACCGAACCGTGGTAATCGCTACATATACGCAATAATTTGCTGGAGAAGTAAAATAAATAAAATGTTTACTTTAAGGGTAGAAATGTCAATTTAATATATTAAGGGGAAAAACCACCACTTTTAAAATAATTGAGGGGGCTAATGTGCTTACATAAATAATTGAGGGGAAAAAAGTGCTATAAATATATAACTTAGGAGGAAAAAGTGCCATTTTCCCATATATATATATATATATATATATATATATATATATATATATATATATGGGGTAAGAAAATATTACTGATATTGAAAATGACTGGAAAAACGAGAGTGATATGAAATTGAGGGTATGGGTGAGGGTATATATATTTCTATAGGAGTGACCGAGTATGGCAAGTGAATATTAATAGATATGCGAATTTAGTAAAAAATTAACTTATTTTTTTTTTCTAATTTTATTAATTCAATTTAGTATGCTAATTTGTTAAATTATTAAATGATTTATTGAGGAAATGTATTGTTCAACTTTTTATTTAATTTAAAATTAGTATAATATTTATATATATTCCAAAAATGTAGATACATTTGATCATTTGTACAAACTGGGACGAACCCAAAATTTTATTTAGGACAGAAAAGATTTTTAACTAATTAAGGAGCTTTACTGAAGACAGTTAATGGCTCTCCACATCAGTTTTGATTTTAATTTAACATAAATATTAGAGCAGTACGTAATACTCTTTAGTTCAAATGTACCGAGTAATTTTTTATATGCACCTCAAAAAAGTATTATAGGTCACATATTAAGACTATAATACAAGATATATTTTTATGATAATCATTTCAAGGTCACTATTATTTTCTCTAAATTACACAAATTTTATCACTCTCATAATTTCAAATGTTATTATTCAAAAGTCATTGTTGCTCCAAAATTATATTTTTACCGCCTTTTTTTTTTTTTGAAATTAAAGCTTAATTCATTAAATCATCAGCAAGGCAACGAACAAAAAAAGGGGTGGAACATCTAGCCACCCCGCGCAACCTGACTCACAAACGGCCTCCCTAGCAACAGTGTGGGCTGCACGATTCACAGATCGAGAATTTTCGTCTACCAATTTTTTTTTTTTTTGGAAATTAAAGCTTAATTCATTAAATCATCAGCAAGGCAACGAACAAGAAAAGGGGTGGAACATTTAGCCACCCCGCGCAACCTGACTTAGAAACAGCCTCCCTAGCAACTGTGTGGGCTGCATTCACAGATGGTTTGACAAAACTAAGATTAACATCCAACAAAGATGATGCCAATTCTTTTAAATCTCCTACAATCAAACCCAAAGCAGAGTCAAAGGAAGGACCTGAAAGAGCATTAAACAGGAGCTGCGAATCTGTTTCCACATCCACCCCTCCTATCCCCGTATTTTTGAACCAACTCAACGCCTCCCGCATACTCATACTTCAACCACCATCACATCGTAAATCCCGGGCACATACATACTCTTCGCTGCTAGGAATAAACCATTATCATCCCTAACAACCCAGCCATAGCCCATGGTGTTACTTGTCTGATTTATAGCGGCGTCTGTATTCAATTTTAACCGCCCAGCTTGCAGCTTGTTCCAGCGTTCAACCTGGCGTGGTGGTACAGCAGGCAAGATGGTACTCTCATTAGCTGCCAACCAGTTATCCAAGAAAAGTAGAGCATGATGCACCATCAGCATTAAATCAAAAGCAGCCCCTCTCCAAACACAGGCGTTCCTACTACACCAAATCCCCCAGCATACCATTATAAATTTGGGAATCAAATCAGCATGTAACATAGAAAGACAGCCAAAGAACCACTCATGCACTACATTACCCGGCAAATATGTAATTGGTAAGCCAACTGCATGGTAAGCTCGCATAGCTTCTGGACAAGTCTCAAAGATATGTAAAGCTGACTCCTCCTCCTGCCTGCACATGTGGCACAACAAATTACAGTCAATATGTTTCTTCCTATGAGCATCCCAGGTTGGTAAATAAGATGATGCCAACTGCCAAGTGAAGGCTTTGACCTTCGGTGGTACATTGACATTCCAAAGTACCTTCCAAAGCCTGTCATCATGTAGTAAACTCGCTTGACGGCGGTAGCTCGATTTTAGAGTGTAAGCCCCTTTACTATCCCAATCAAGGATGTAAAACTCGCCCGCCTAGGCGCTAGGCAGCCCAAAACCTTTCCGTTTTGGCCTATAGGCAGCCAAAACTCGACCGGCCGAGTAGGCGGCCGCCTGGGCAGCCTGGGCGGCCAACTCGGCCGAGTTTGGCCCAGTCGGCCGAGTTAATTCATCTTTTTTTTTTTATTTGGGTTTTTCGCTCAAAACGACGTCGTTTTGAGCGAAAAAACCCAAATAAAAAAAATTGAATTCTAATTTTGATTTCTACTTCCTAATTTTGACTCCTAACCCTACGTCCCTAACTTCTATGTCGTTTCACTCTTGCGAGACGGGACTCGGGAGACCTCCATCTTCGAGCCGACAGTCGGACACCCCATCGGATTGATCGAAGCGTCGTCGCCGTCGAGCTCCAGTCGTCCGTCGCCGTCGGCCCGTCACCGTCGTGGCGTCGTCTGTAAGTTTCCAATCATTTTTTGCTTTCATTTTTGTAAGTTTCCAGCTCGCCGTCGAGGTCATTGTTGTTTATGTGCAAATTTTTGATTTTGTAAGTTTCCAGCTCCCCACAGTAATTTGATTTTGTAATTTGATGTTTATGTGCAAATTTTTGATTTTGTAATTTGATGTTTATGTGCAAATTTTTGTAAGTTTCCAGCTCCCCACAGTAATTTGATTTTGTATATGCATTTTAATTTGATTTTTTTGAGTCTACACTCTACTGTCCAGTCTGTCCTACTAGTGTGTTTTTTAATTCAAATTGGTGTGTTTTTTAATTGCTTTCATTTTGTGTATGATTTTTAATTATAATGGCTTCATCAAGTGCTTCGGCTACTCAAAGTGTTGGATCTTCTAAAGCAATCACACTTAAAAGGAGATCAAATGATGTAGGGTGGGAATATGGTATTTTAGTTGATGGGAAAATTTTGGATAAAGTAAAATGCTTGTTGTGCGGGAAAGTTTTATCCGGTGGAGTGCATCGAATAAAAGAGCATATTGCTCATATACAAGGAAATGTTAGCCCATGTTCTAAAGCTACTAAAGATGATCAACTTAAGTGTAGAAATGCACTCAATGAAGCCAAGATGAGAAGGAAAAATAAAAAAGTGAATGAAGATAATTTAAGGGCCGATGTTAATATTGATGGTAGAAGTGAGTCAATTGATGTTGAGGACTTGCAAGGGTCTCTTGGATCTATGAAGCCACCACGTTCACTTGGCCCAATGGATAAGTTTGCAAGTGGCATCAATCCCGAACCTTTCATGAATTTAGGAAAGACATTGCAACAAGAACGTATTGATGGTGCAATATGGAAGGAAAGGTCAAATAAAGTGAAAGGATATATATGTAGATGGGCATATGAGGCCGCTATTCCTTTTCATGCATTTGAAAAAGATAGCTTTAAGATGATGTTAGAAGCAGCTGCACAATTTGGTCCCGGAGTTGATGCACAATTTGGTCCCGGAGTTGAATCACCAAGTAGATATGAGAGTGAAACATTCTTGAAGAAAGAAGTTGATAAAGTGAAAGAGTCTTTGAAGATACATGAAGAGGAGTGAAAGCAAAATGGATGCTCAATCATGACGAATGCTTGGACTGATACAAAGAGAAGAAGTGTAATGAATTTGTGTGTGAATTCAACTTTAGGCACAGTTTTCCTTACTTCTAAAGAATGTTCACTTGATTCACACACAAGTGAATATATTTATGAGTTTGTTGAGCATGGTATTGAACAAGTTGGAGTTGAAAATGTTGTTCAAGTTGTCACGGATAATGCCTCAAACAACATGTGAGCTTCAAAGTTGTTGAAAGAGAAGAGGCCAACCATCTTTTCGACTTCTTGTGCCACCCACACAATAAATCTAATGCTTCAAAGCATTGGAAATATCCCAAGGTACAAGAAAGTTCTTGATCAAGCAAAGGCTTTAACGATCTTTATTTATGCTCATCACAAGACTTTGGCAATGATTAGAACTTTCACAAACAAGAGAGATATAGTGAGGCCCGATGTGACTAGATTTGCATCTTCATTCCTTACTTTGCAAAGTTTAGCCGAGAAGAAGATTGAACTAAGGGCAATGTTTTCTAGCAATGAACGGGAGGCATGTAAATTTTCCAAGATAGCTAAAGGGAAGGTAGCACACACAACCGTAACAAGTTTGGGATTTTGGCAAGGTGTAACGGCATGTTTGAAGGTTTTTGCACCATTGGTGAGAGTACTTCGACTTGTTGATTGTGATAGCAAGCCATCAATGGGGTTTGTATATGGTGAGCTTATGAGAGCAAAAGAGGAAATCAAACATGCTTTATCTGATGTCCCAAGGAACTATAAATCGATTATTGACATTATTGAAGAAAAAATGAAAGACAGGCTTGACGCTCCTCTTCATTTGATGGCATATTTGTTGAATCCTTATTACCATTATAAGGATTCACAACTTCATTTGGACGAAGTTGTAGCTGTTGGAGTTGTTGATTTTTGTGATATTCTATTCGTCAATGATTTTGACATGCAAAATAAGATTTTAAGTGAAGAATTTCCAAAATATAAGAAGAAGGAGGGAATGTTTGGAAGAAGTATCGCAATCAAAGCATGTGAGGTGAATGATGACAACTTTAATCCCGGTAAGTCATTCTTTATTCTTTAATACTTTATTGTTTACTTAATTATATTTATTTATTTATAGACTTATAGTTATTAATTGTTATGAACTTTGTTTTGTAGCAAATTGGTGGTCAAACTTTGGTACCTCAACCCCTTTATTGAGAAGAATAGCTATGAAGATTCTTTCTTTAACATCTAGTTCTTCGGGGTGTGAAAGAAAATGGAGCACGTTTGAAGGGGTTAGTAACTTAATATGATATTTTATTTAGTTCGTTATCAACTTGGTATGTTAATATAAATATGAATTATGGTAGTTAATACTTTATTAATATAATCATTATTTAAACTTTTGAATATTTTTATTACTTGAATTGTAGATACATACAAAGAAGAGAAATAGACTTGAATCAAATCGTCTCAAAAATTTAATTTTTGTCCAATAATTTAATGCTACTTAGATGAACAAGAGCAAGCAAGATAAAAATATTGAAAAGTTGGTTGGTAGTGATGCAAGTTTGGTACAAGATTGGAATGTGGAAAATCTTGAGAATGATGAGACTGAGCCGGGATTGGATTGCAACAATAATGCTATGGAAGTGGATGAAGCATTACAACCCTGTAGAAGTGCTAGATTGAGGGATCTTGATGAAGATAACTTTGAATCGGAAGGGGAAAGTGAGGAGGAAATAAATCAAGTGGAGTTTGAAGATGATGGGCTACGTGTTAATGAGCAATATGGACAAGATGAAGAAATTGGCAATGATCCTATTCAATCATGATTCATGAATCACTTTGGATTTCAAAACTTTAAAATTTGGACTTAAATGTTGAATTTTGGTTGAATGTTAATTATGTTGTAACTTGTAAGTTTAAACGTTAAACAATGCTACTTGGATGTTGTTTCACTTGTTTCATTAGTTGGATGATTAAATGTGGTATTTTGTTTGAGTAATTGAGTGTTTGACTTGTTTAGTTATTTGAAGGAAATCAAGGAATGTATGATAGTTTTATTATTTGGACGTGCTATTTGATTGAATGTTGAAAACAGCTTGATTAAATTTTTCAAACTGCAAGTCTGCTATTGTTTTTTTAATTTTTTTTAGAGTCCGCCTAGCACCGCCTAGATTCCGCCTAGCCCCGCCTAGGCGCTAGGCGCTGTCCGGCCGCCCGACTAGCGCCTAGCGCCTATTGCAACCTTGATTCCAATGCCAAACCCAAGAATCAGGGGGTTTACGCACACTTATAGGGATTTTTAAAATTAAGCCAGCATCACGTTCAATGAACATATCCTTGACACAATACCTATCCCATGACGTACCTTCTTCATTTAGTAAGGAAGACACCGATGCACTTGCAATCGCCCCGGGTACCTCTGTTTGTATATATGGATCGTCATCGTCAGGCAGCCAAGGCATGCTACCAATTACTGTGTCATAACCGTTCCCAATCGCACGTCGGCAGCCATCCTTCATCAAGTCCTGTACAGCCAACAAGCCACGCTAAGGACGGATTAGCCCCAACCTTAGCCCCAAAAAAAATCAGTGCGTGGATAATAGCGGGCTTTGTATACCTTGGTGACTAGAGAAGAGGGTCTCGTGATGAGATGCCAGGCTTGTTTTCCCAGCAAGGTAAGATTCATTTCGTCCAACGTCCTAAAGCCCATGCCACCTGTGGTCTTAGGAGCACACAAACCTCCCCACGATCGCCACCTTATTACTTTCCCCTTACCAACCGAGCCTGTCCACCAATATTCGTTCATTAGTGTTTCCATCTCTTTGCACAAGCCCACAGGTAAGAGAAACACCATCATAGCGTAGGAGGGAATTGCCTGGACAACATTCTTCAGAAGCACCTCCCTACCTGCACGAGAAAGAAAACGGGAGTTCCAACTCCGAATTTTGGTTAAAATGCGTTCCTTAAAAAAACCGAGGATCTGCTTCTTTCTTCGGCCAATCAAAGATGGCAAGCCCAAGTATCGACCAACAGTATTCCTTTCCCGGACACCCAATATCTGAACTATATCTTGACGGCCCAGCACTACCACATTTGCACTAAAACAGATTGTGGACTTATCGAGATTTATTTTCTGGCCAGAGGCTGCTGCATATGTGTCAAGAGCCAACTTCATATTCAAGTTCTCCTGGGCATTTGCCTTGAAAAATAAAAAACAGTCGTCCACGAAGAGTAAATGAGAAATGGACGGTGCTCCCCGAGCCACAGTAATACCATGTAGGTTTCCTTGCCTCATATGTTTGTGTATAAGCGCACTCAGCCCTTCTGCAACCATTAGAAATAAGTAGGGTGAGAGTGGTTCCCTGAAATTATATTATTACCGCCGTTTTAAATGCTTCAAACACAACTTTTCAAATGAAACCTACACTCATACAAACATATTGTTTTTAGAAGTATTGTATGAATCAAATTAACCACACACCAAACATGTTGCTCATTTTTTAAATTTAAACATAATGTGCTACTGATCATTATTTTCAAATGATGTAAATATATGTATAGATGTTGGGATTATACCTCTAGACCCGGCCCAGTGGAGTGGGTATATCGAGTCTAACCTACTTGGAATAGCAAGGAGTTGAGAAAGAAGAGAGAGGGCGAGGTAGCGAACGACTCATGAGTAATATAATGTTATAGAGAGTAGTTGACCGGCGTTCATGAGAAAAAGCAATTGTGTGGGGCAAAGTGAAATTCAAGAATGTCGTTATAGCATTATTGTATTGTCACACACACACACACATACATATATATATATATATATATATATATATATATATATATATATATATATATACATATATATATATATATTTTTTTTTTGGTTCCTGTGAGAACAGGTCTTCCCGTGCCGTCAGGGCGGCATACACCATTAGGTATGCATAAATGCACCATACAGTGTTCGAGAATACACCAGAATGAAATGTCAAAAAATGCACCACAAAAAAAAAAAAAAAATACACCACACATAATGGTGTATTTTCGAACACTGTGTGGTGCATTTATGCATACCAAATGGTGTATGCCGCACTGACCGCACGGGAAGACCTGTTCTCACTGGATCCTGAGCATATATATATATATATATATATATATATATATATATATATATATATATATATATATATATATATTATCTATGAGTTAATTACCGAAATGGTCCCTTGACTATAGCAAAATTACCAATTTGATCCTTGACTATTTTTTTTTTGATCAATTAAGTCCATCAACTTTAAAAATCTTAACCAATTTGGTTCTCCATTTGTTTGAGCGTTAGTCAACCGTTAACTTGGGACCAAATTGGTAATTTGCTATAGTCAAGGGACCGTTATGGTAATTAACTTTAAGGGTGTGCAATTCGGTTCAGTTTTCTCGAACCGAACCATACCAAACTAGTTAGATTTGGTAATATACCGAACAACAGAACGGTAATAGATTTTTGTATACCGAACGGTTCGGTAAAAACTCGAATCGAACTGAATTGTTCTGTAAAAATTGAACCGAACCGAATACCATTTGAACTTTGGATTGCTATGTTGTTATATATTAGACTTTGGATATGGACTATGTAAACACCATAACACATAATATAGAACTTTTGATAACAAACCATAAAGAAACCAAATAAAACATTTACGAGATATACCTGTGAGAATATGAGCCGAATAGCAGAGCAAGCAACAAAGGACTTGGATTTACTTTTTATTTATTTATTTATTATTATTATTATATTTAAAAAAATCAAACGGTATTCAGTTCTGTTCAATTTTTTACCGAACAATTCGAATAGGTTTTTTATCGAACCGTTCGATATAAAAGAATCCAATACCGTTCGGTTGTTCGGTATATTACCGAACCCAACTAGTTCGGTTCGGTTTGAGAATACTAAGCCGAATTGCCCACCCCTAAAGTTAATTACCAAAATGGTCCCTTGACTATAGCGAAATTACTAATTTGGTCTCAAGTTAACGGTTGACTAACGGTCAAACAAACGGAGGACCAAATTAGTAAAGATTTTTAAAGTTGAGAGACTTAATTGATTAAAAAAATAGTCAAAGACCAAATTGATAATTTCGCTATAGTCAAGGGACCATTTTATTAATTAGCTCTAATATCTATTGTTTTAGTATGTTTTCAACTGTACATTTAGATTTTAACGTAACTAGTATTTTCACCCGTGCGATGCACGGAATGGAATTGTTGTAATATATTAAGAATATTTAAATCTATATATAATTATTTAAGAGTTGATTTCACCAGAGGTCGTTTATCTTTCCTGACAATTCCAAATTTAATTCTAGACTATAGTTATTAATTATTACAATTTATTCTATGTTACAACTCTTACGTTAATATTCTTACTATTATTATTAACACTTAATTACTTTTAGATTTATTATTACCACTTATATTATTATTATTATTATTATTATTATTATTGTTATTATTATTATATTATTATTATTATTATTATTATTATTATTATTATTATTATTATTATTACTATTATTATTATTATTATTAGTTTCTTTTCAAGTACTGTTAGTATATAATGGTCGTGAGGCACAATAATAATATAACCATAATTAAATATTCTTGTATTATATTCCAGAGTTAATGCCATTTTTGATCCTAGACTTATTGAGGCATTGACACTTTTCATCCTTCATAATAAAAATTGCCACTTAGTAGACACTGTTATTGGTCGTTGGACAGTTTTGATCCTCCGTCAATGAAGTCGTTTGTTGACCGTGAATTAGAAGGGTTTTTCTGTCTTTTTATGTCTTATTCTTCTAATCTTGTTTAGACCAGCGCTGCTGTGACTCCTGTGAGGCGAGATGGCACGACTTGGCGGCTAAGTAGTAACCGTCGGTAGTGAGTAGCAGCGAGGTTCTTCTCCGGCGAGTTGTGGGTACGGCGGCGAGCATACGAGGCAGTAACTCCTTCCGGCGACGGACCAATAAGGCAGATCTGGCAGTGCAGCAACAGATCCGGCGAGGTTGGGGCCTTCACCGGTGGTTTTTGGTTCCGGTGAAGCAGAGAGGGCAGCAGGTCGGTGAACCCTCCTATGGTAAATAGCAGTTGTAGTTGTAGATGGCGTGATGTAGAATTTGCACCTGTAAGTCCTCCCTTCCATATTGACCATAAATATCCTTCCCATCTCTCTCTCTCTCTCTCTCTCTCTCTGACCACAACTACTTGGTGCACAACCTCAAAAACTCTGTTATTCTACCTGAAATTCATTGAAGTTTCAAGCTAAAAATGTGGAATCTGTCGCTCCCCAAAAATCGCATTGTCTGAGGTGTTGGAATGGCCGGTGTTGACTTCCTGGCTGCTGTAGCTTCATTCCCCAACCCGGATGATAAAATTCGGAGCACCAGCTTTGAGGTTCAAGGAGGTGGTAACACTGGCAATGCTTTGATAAAACCCGGATGATAAAATTCGTCTTGGTCTTAATCCAAGGATCATATCTAAGGTTGCTGATGACTCGCATGACGAAAGAATACTTGATGAGCTTGAAAGGGATGGTGTTGATACATCTTTTATGGTGGTGTCCAAAGGAGGAAACTCACCATTCACACATGTCATTGTTGACAACCAAAAAAAACAACTTGCACGTGCATTTTCACTCCAGGATATCCACCCATGATATCTGAGGGTCTACATACCCAAATCAAAATTGTCTTCAACGCTTGGAGTAAATATTGTCTACTTAGATGGAAGGCTGCATGAGACTGCTTTGATTGTAGTGCAGGAGGCAAAGAGTAGGGGCATACCTATTATAGTTGATGCAGAAAGGTTAAGGGAGGGGTTGGGTGATATTCCTGACTTTGCTAGTTATGTTGTATGCTCGACAAAATTTTCACAGGCATGGACTAACGCCCTTTCTATTCCAACTGCACTTGTTTCCATTATCTTGAGATTGATGTCAAATGTAAAATTCGTGATTGTTAGTTGGGTGAAGATGGTTTCTTAATGTTAGAAAGGACTAAAGCGGATAACCTCAGTTTGAAGAAATGGATCTAGCAGTGACCAATGGATGGAGAAATACAAGGATTAGAACATAAAAAGACAAAAAAAAACCCTTCTAATTCACGGTCAACAAACGGCGTCATTGACGGATGATCAAAACTGTCCAACGATCAATAACAGTGGCTACTAAGTGACAATTTTTATTATGGAGGATGAAAAGTGTCAATGCCCCAATAAGTCTAGGACCAAAAATGGCATTAACTCTTGTATTCCGTGAGTCACAATAATAATATAACAATAATTAAATATTGTTCAATTCTATATTCTTCTAAGATTTATATTGCCATCATTAATTATTTCCAAATTTACCATAATTAATAATTTGACCAATTATAAAAAAAGATTATTAAATAATGCACGAGACAATTGTTTAGTTAAAAATTTTAAAAATTCATTAATAAAACAAAAGATTCTCATAGTTTTTTCTTAGAAACTCTTTAATAAAGTATTTTTTTAGAAATTGGTGGGCCAAACTGCCTACGGCAATTTGCGGTGGATAGATCTCGAAAAAATACACGATTTCAAAAAAACATTTGTCCAAAACGGACAACGGAGTCAAAAGTTATGCCGTGCAGAACTTTTGACACTTTACAAATTAAAAAAAAATATATATATATATATATATATATATTAAAGGCCGGTTCAGCCGGCGAGGCGGCAGCTGAGGAAGCCGATTCCTGCCTTCCTCGCCGCGGCCAGGGACACGATTTTTGCAACACTGATATATAAAATAGATATTGATTAGAATAGGAATAGTATTACACAATTTTATAATATTACAATAAAATTTTAACCAAGAATTATTGTAGAAATAAATATATTTTATTAGGAAGAGAGATGTTTTAGGAATTGGGCGGGAAGTTAAAGTTTAAGGATTTTGTTTTTTCTATATAGTATAGATAGATTGTATTACACTATTTTATAATATTAGAATAGAATTTTAACGCAGAATTACTGTACGAATGTTAAAGTAGAAATCAATATATTTTATTAGGAAGAGAGATTTTTTAGGAATTGGGCGGGAAGTTAAAATTTCAGAATTTTGTTTTTATATATACTATAGACTATAGATTGTATTACACTATTTTATAATATTAGAATAGAATTTTAACGCAGAATTATTGTACGAATGGGAAAGTAGAAATCAATATATTTTATTAGGAAGAGAGATTTTTTAGGAATTGGGCGGGAAGTTAAAATTTAAGGATTTTATTTTTATATATAGTATAGATTGTATTACACTAC